TATANATATATATATATATATATATANATATATATATATATATATATATATATATATATAATATAATATAATATATATATATATATATATATATATATATCGACACATCAGTATGTAAATCATATATGGGGCATTTCAGCACTTCCCAGATTCACGATGTTTAAAAAGTGACAAAATGCATACCCAGAGGCCTCCACACGCGCCAAATGATATTTTATACTCGCATATTCACCGGAGACTTTGATAGACTCGATTAATACCTCAACGAAATACACATGCACATGCGCTAACTGAAATATTATTTTCGCGTGTCAATGGGGACTTAAAAATAATCTCAACTAATACACGAGCGGAATACTTGCCTGCATATTATGCCCAGTACCCTTAGGTAACTCGGGTAGTGCGAACGGTGAGGTGTTCGTAGGCTGGAACGGCGCAAATTCGGTCAATACCGCACGTCGCGAGCCGTCACGCCTTTGCGTGCTAGCACCCACGTCTGGAAGGATACATACATGTATGACTGAAGTTAAGCAAGCTCGTATAGAGGTACAGGCATGTGAGTGAGGATCGACGTTTGAGCAATGTGTGAGTAGTGACATTCGAAACTGAAATTTAGAAAGTGGGTATAGAGGTGTATGTAAGTATATGAGAGTATACACTATATCTTTTGTGAGTGTACATGCTTGTGTACAGATAAATGCGCCAGTATATAATGAGTTGGCAGGTGGTTCAACATCCCGTTTATTGAATTATACTGACATGTGCATTTAGGAATATTTATGTACAATATGCGCGTACTATGATTTTTCATACATACCCGAAGATATAGGGTTGCAGGGTTTTCAAAAATCGACACGCCATATTCTATGTACTTATATAACTACAATTGTTGGTCATCAATTCCACATGCGTGATCAATATATGCAAAAAAAATGCGAGCACAAATGTACGTGTCAAGAACTTATACAAGCAAACACATATATTTCCAATGGATGAAAACATCACAGAGCTGTCTATTAGTCTAGTCGAACACGCATCGCCATGTATTGTACATATATTATATATATATATATATATATATTACACATGCATACATACAAACACACACACACACACACACACAAACACACACACATATATATAAAATAATGTGCGTGTGTGCATAATTACACCGATAGGTAATAATATTACACGTACATACTGACGGGCATACGGAGCATACTCACACAATTCACTTTTTAAGTGCTCCTACATGCCGACATCACATGTTGTCACTGAGCGTACTTCTATACTATAATAGTCAGCCAATTGTCGTACAACATTCAGTAGTGGAAAGCTGCAGTGCGATGATTAGCCTGCATAGTAACGTAAGAGTATGATGTTTGTAGTGATGACTGACTGAATCATATAGACTCTCATTGGAGACTGTCTGAATCATATAAAAACGCATTGGATAACCCGGTAACATTCTCTAAGAACCACCAACCTTCTATAAGATTTACAGTTGTACAATAGCTTGGCGTACACTACAGCAAGGTACACACCTTCTGCAGGCGCTTGGCTGTGCTGCATGGGTTGGCTTGCTGGGATGTCTCCCATAGCCACACTCTGTATCACCGCCGCTACGTATGGTTCGTAGTGCGACAGCTCACTGGACATGTCCACAATCCGATCCAATACACTCGGTTTGCTTTTAATTTTGGTTCGTGAGTGGGACAGCGGCTGATAGAATATAGATAAGGAACGTGGTAGTAAATATCGAGAAGAATATAGTAAGAAACGTGGCGAGGAACGTGGGCAGGACATGACGGTAATACAATCCATCACACCCGGTCTGCTTTCGATTCTAGTTTGTTGGTGAGGCGGCACCTGATTCGATTAAATGAGAAATTTGGAAAATTTTTGGAGAAAAATGTGACGAGGTATACGGTACAGAATTGCTGCAGAATATTGACTTGTACCACTACAGTCACAGCTCCGCCAAAATATACATGAAACCTACGTTGCACACACACTACGGATCTACCAGTAGAATCCTGCCATGTATCCTCATGTACATACGATAGATGTCCTTGAGTTCCAGCGAAGCAGATTCGTCTACACGTACAAGGTTATGTATTAGAATGGAATAAAACATAATTGTATACACACGCAAGGTACATAACTGTACACATAAGGTAAAATTACCTTTGCTCGCCCTGGAGCGTGGGTCGTGCTATTATTTTGGCAGTCTATATTTAACCGTAAAGTTGGCTCTGGTACCACAAAATTGTCAAAATCGGATTTCGCAAGTGGTGCGAAAAATTGGGGTGGCGGTGACGCTGATCGTCTAGCTTCTTTCTTGGAGGTATCTACAGTCAATTTGGGATAATGATTCGGGATGGAGATTTGCAAAAGTTTGGTTAGATCTTTGATGTATAGCTGTCGTGTGAAACGTAATCCCAGGTCGATTTGCCCGGGGAAGCAGTGTGTGTGTGTTGGAATGGGCGGGGTTGTGATTGGGCCACAGGTGCACGATGCTTGCGTTTCGTTAATATATTGTTCACTTTCGTACAATGATATGTTTGCCTCTAAAGGTTAACTATTCAAATATGAACCCGGAAGGTTAGGCCTGGATAGCTTGTCAAAGGTCTTCACAACTACTTATAAATACACTTCAGCAGCAGCACATATATACATTCCCCATGCATGAGCACGCTCGGATTAAATACGAACGCCAGAGATAACAACACAGCCTGCATCATACAGGGCCACCAACTTCCACCATACCTGCTGTTGTCCTATCAGGTTTGGCCGTAGCAGCTGGGTGCGCTTTCTCTTCAGTTTCATTGGCCAACAAGTCTGCGTCCTCCGTGGCGGTTGCCTTGGATATGTCCTCGTCACCGCCAGATTGCTCCCGCGTGTTGCGCTTCTGAGCCTTGTTTGGTGGTGGTGATGTCAAAGCTGATGCACCTCGTGCGGTTTCGGAAGGATCGCCCTAGATAACGAGTGAATAGAATACGTGTAAATAGCTGTGCATAAAAAGACTAGGTGGAATATATATGTCATGTATGCACGAGGTAAAGGCAAGAACGTGCTAACGTGTACATATCCATAGGTGTGTGCCTCGTATGCGTGCTCTTACGAGTTAAAATACAAGTCTAAGCTACATGCGTCAGGAGGGGGCGGGGGCGGACGGTGCTAGCGCAAATTCAGAGTCAAGTTTTAAGTTAAAGTAATTGGACTCATTTTGTTATATTTATAGAATAACTTTCTCGTGTACTTCATTTTACGGCACGGAAATTTTACCTCGGGAAAGACTTCCTCTTCCGCTTCACTGTGTACACGTTTGCGCCCACGTCCTAATGGCGTGCGCTTGGTTTCTGCTGCATTTTCTGTTCCCTTTTCAGCCGAGTTTTTGGTCTTATTGCTTGATTTGGCTTTTTCTGCCGTGTGACGGGTCGACGCCCGAGTCCTCCGCTGCATTACCGATATGTAAATTATGTTTAGTATAATTGTATTTTGGAGGGAAGTATCCCATGTAGATATTTGGGCAAAATCTATGAACATTTTTGTATCCCGGGGTGTAGGTAGTTGTCCTCGTATCGTTGGGGGCACACACATACACAGAAGTATTGTAGTGTACTTGTATAGAATGCCGCCGATGCCGTTCGGGTTGCTCATACACATCAAGTAGAACGCCGATGACGTTATGTATGTCGTGCAGTACGCAAAGTGTGATCAATACAATACACTGCTCGCCGATTCTGGGGGGAAACAAACAAGCGGGATCTCACATGTATGTGCGTGCAGGAACTGCAAAGATATGCAACGAGATACGTGCAATACGGGTGTCAAGTAGTATACGCATATCTGAAGTGGTCATGCTTGGTTTGCGGTAAACTCTTACTACCATTTCACACAACTCAGCATATCCATATTTGGACCTTCGGATGTACGTGGTCGTCAAACAGCTGATACCAATCATGGTTCTATGTGAGGAATCCGCATCAAGTCGTTCAGATGTAAATTAGGTCCACTGTGTGTGCATAATATACACATGTACGTATACATATATGCACATACATATCCATATATATATATATATATATATATATAAAACACACACACACACACACACACACACATATATATATATACATATATTACTTCTATATATATATATATATATACTTCTATGTATATATATTTATATATATGCACATGCACATATATACATACATACATACATACATACATACATACATACGTCCATATACATATTTACATATACATAATATATATATATGTATATATACATACATACACATACACATACACACACACACACACACACACACATATATATATATCTATATATATACATATACATATATATATATATATATATACATATATACATATGCATATGCGCCCATATGTATATGAACCGCGAACGCAACATATATATTCATTTTCTCAGTTATGTGCATTGTCACGTACGATAACAATAGATAACCATTTGTTAATTGGGGCGCCAATAGTAAACCAATACAGCCGTTCTGGTTCGATGACATACCTGCACAACAACTAAACACAATACCCAAGAGATATATGCAATAACACAGTGACTCATGCCGTATTAGCCATCACAGCTGAAACAAAATAAGCCTCATACGAGTATCGAGTACCGATACAAGCTATTAGATTACTTTGTTACACATAGCAGAATGCTAAGCAGGTATAGAGAATGTGTCCGATTCGGCTTGGAACAGATTCCCGATTGAGTAGAACATACAACATTCGATGATATTTGCACTATATTTAAAGAAAAAAATAAAGCAGACCTCTTACAAATCTCACGATATACCTCGGGTGTAGGCTCGGATTCAGGACCTTGTTTAGTTTCTAATTTTGATTTTGGATCTGATTCTAGGTCTATTACGTTTTTGTCTTCCGGAAGTGTTTCGGGTATCCGTAAAGCCATGCAGGCGTCGATTGAGCTCTGGACGGGATAAGCATGAAGAAACATAAACAAATGTGGTGAAAAAGGAGAAAGTTCGTGCCAAAACAAAAGAAGAAAAAGGTACTAAATTTGTTATACAACTGTGAAGTATCGCTTCCCTTATAAAATGTGTGCTCAATGACAAATGGATGATTACTATAGTACTACAAGAGAACAAAAAGGCACTAAATTGACTATACAACTGTGAAGTATCTCTCCATCATGACATGTGTGCTCAATGGCCAATAAATGATTACCACAAGAGAAATAACATGGCACAGTAAAGCATTCGGCGATGTTTTGGACAAAACTCACCTTGTCTAGCTGCGTTTCGGGAATCCGCGATATGAAGGAGTCAACATCTATCACCTGTATGTAACAATAGCACAAGCGATATTTTCTGTCAGGCAACATGTCACATTGAAACGGTTCTTGTGCATATATAAATATATATATAAGGCAAAAACTCCACCTGAGCTTATGCTTACTATGGTTTATACCCGTACAGCGATATCAGAATAGGCGAAGAATGTCATAAATCACATGCAGCTCACTGGCAGCACATATATCGTCGCAGTCGTGGAAGTCAAGTATCACCAAGAGTTAACGGACCGAATGTGTATACAAATGCTGATACCAGCACACTTGTTGAAAATACGCACGGGTGTGCGTTTGATCTACAACAGAGAAAATACGGACACAGCTTCCCCAGACAATTGTTCCTCCCAGCGTACGTGTATATATGCAAATGACGGTTGACAGACGTACACAGAATGTGCATACATATGTGCGGTGTATATACTCATGAGTTCGTATTGCACCACACTTAATAATATAAAAGCCGTGAGCATATTTAGACCACCCCATATTTACCTTAATATATGGGTATTTGTATGATACATATACGATATATCTGTAAGGAGGCAATGGTACACACATCAACAGCTACTTTGTATGTATTTAAAAAAAAAAACTCAACTATAATTGTGTGCCATTCAAAACGATACACAAATCAAATTGCACAGGGTAGTAGTATACATAGCAATACAAAGTGCTTATGATGTAAATAGTAGGAAGTAAACGTAGGGGCCCATATATATGTAGGTCACAGGTAAAGCTCCTCCCTAAGCAAATCTGAATTTCCACACGTACTACGATAACCGTTCGTGATCACAGACGCGAATAAGCAACCAGACACATCGGTGATGAAATTCGATTGCACCTCTTCAATTAAGCTTGTGTGTATGTGATACGAACCATCCTGTATGTCCTTGTACTAACCGCATATATGTGGAGCGGTGAATATGCATGCTAGACACTCATGCTATGAATTTGTCTTACACTACCTCGCCTTACACTTCATTTTTGTTCGATGGACTGCTCAGTGTCTTGACTTGCTCGAACAAATGCACAACCACAAATACTTATACTTTATTATTATACAATGATGCTGCCATGCTTTCGTACATTGCCTCATCTCGCACTTCACTTTTGTTCGGTGGACTGAACAGAGTCATGGCTTGATCGTACAAATGCACAACCATGAATACGTACATTTAATTGGTATACAAAGATTCTGCTAAAATTCCTACATTACCTCATCACGCACTTCTCTTCTGCTCGGTGGGCTGCTCAATGTGTTGGCGTGGCAGGGGCGAGAGGCTTGCATGGTATCTCCTTCGGGATTCGGTTCAGGAGCGCTATGAGAAAAAAAAGGCTATACATCAGAGTACTGCAAGTATGTGTATATGTACATGTTAGCGGGGGAAAGAGGAAGCAACGCTGTATCTCAGAGTTCTGTACGTACATGTGGGGATGATTGGTCGATATGCAGCTGTGTGAGGATATATATATCTGTGTATGTGTATGATTGTATTGATAATTGATGTATATTAGTATACAAAGCAAACAATCGCGTAGCATGCAATATGTGTGCGGTCGTTATTCACGATAACGTTCGTGTAAATATACTAGTATATATGTTGATGGATTACAAAAGTAACAGCACATGCAGAGGAACCTAAAACATCCACAAATACATACGATCGCAAATACTATCTGAATACAGATATTAGAATACACACAAATACTCTCCTGTGACTATGAGCGAAGTTGTCGCACATCTAACAATACATGCGAGCTTACCTACAACTGATCGTGTGACGCGGTTTAGGGGATATGGCCACAGATATACGCACGAGTATCCTACTACACGTGATAAATTGTATCTACCAATCCTGGTATACACAAGCTCGGTTTTAGCTGTAAGCGAGACATAAGCACAGTAAAAAGTGCCCGTTCAGCATCTACGATATTCGACAAAAACATATCATCACCGAACTCACATTTACACCGATAAAATATAACAATTTTAACCTTCAAGAAGATAAAGTGCTGAATCTACGACAATGGTTGCGATTATTTGTATAGTTGCGCTACCGCTACAAACATAAGTTGTACTTACATCGGATTGCAGTAGCGTTCGGTGCTGCACAGGATAATGGCGCGGGTGATCTCCTCATTGTTGATCAATCGTCGTTTGAATCTAAGGAAGCAGTGCAGGGCTGCTTAGACTTTGATTGAGCATACATACACACTTTCACATAGTATATGGCTTGAAAAATAATTATGCATGTGTGTTCGGCTGTGGATTCGATTCTTGGGGTATAACTGCGTGTGCGAAAGGTATACAATATATCGTTTAGCAATAATAGCGTGTGTGAAGACAAGACGAATAGGTGTGGCCAACTCGGAATAGAATGCGGTGTAATAATGACACTTATTCGGTAAGTTCTGAGTGAAAAAAATCGCTTATCCGAATCTGGAAAGCAATGTCGCGGTTCGGTATTGTTTCTTGCTAAAGTACCTTTTCCTACCTAAGAATAGTACCGTTTATACACAACTTTCAACTCTCTGACCATGCGAGATCATTGGTACCACGTAGAAACTGGTTCGTGCACTAACAGACAATACGTAGCAATTCAACCACAGTTTCTTGCAAACAGTGCGCCATAGACTTCAAGGCAGTTGATTCATGCATAGCGGCATGCAAAACCAACATATATATATATACACACACACACACACACACACACACACACACACATATATATATATGTGTGTGCGAAGTGTGCGTGTTTATGCATGTATGCACGTATTCACGTATCACTTTTTATACTTTTTCAGCTTGCGCTTCATGATGCCGAGTTTTCCTGCGGGGTTGGGTGCGTCTTTCACCACACGTACGTTGGGATTTTGAGACAATTTGTCCATATTGACACCTCTGTCACGAATTGTCGACATCTCCGCTCCTGCCAAAAGCACAAACTCTTTATTTGGATCATTATTACTCCCGAAGACGAAGTGGATGTCCTTGAACAAAACCGCTCTCGTCTCATCGCGTGCAAAAGATGAGCTTGATGGCACCTTTT